CTTTAGCTTAACTGGAAGAGCTTAAAACCGAAGTTTATTGAACATATGGAACGAACAACAAACCCATCCAGCACATTCAGACTGGGTGGGCTCCAGCTCATCGACTCCTTCTCCAAAGAGAACAATTCCATGTAGAAGATTTCCAACTGGCTGGGCTCAATGGGCTTGTCAGAGAGGGTGATAAATGTGAGTGCTGGATACATCCAAATGTAGCATCTGACCAGACTAACATGGCTAATCCAAAACTCAAAATGAATGAAAACACTTATTTCCACAGCAGTATACTATCTTGGGCAGATGCTGCCAGACCCTGTGATATGCTTAATAGTATTCTTCTCGTTAGACAAAGATTATCTGTTTGTTTAAGTTACCAATCACTGAATGTATCCATCTTGCAGTCATTGACTCGGACACTTTTTGTCTCCCTTTATTGTCAACATATGTTATGCCAAAGAAGTGGTGAGTTGCTAAACCTTTCGCTGCAAGAAAGATAAATGTAATAAATTGTCTGTAAGACTAACGTCCAAAGTGCATTACTCCAACTGGTTCCCAGAGATGCTTTACGCACCGCAATGCACATTTGGACTTTCACATGCCGGCTTAAATACTTAGTCTCCGCTTTGGCAGTTGGAAGTAGTGTCCTCACATRTGTAACTTTGCTGCAGAAACGTTTGCTGCTGGTCCTTCCCACAGCGCAGTTTTGTCCCCCATGCAGGACAGGGAGCTGACTTGGGCCCCTGGCCGCTCTGCTGCRCCTGGAGCAAAGCTGTGCTTAGGTKGGGGGGGGYTTAAATGAAAGGTCTAAGTTTAACCTTCCTCTGAATATTGTGAAAGATCAAAAGGGCATAAAGGAAAAGGGCAAATGAAGCACAGTTTATCTCAGGTCTTCTCCTGTGTCCCCCATCACGCTGTGATCTCCTAATGAAATGAGGGGCACGTGTRGAAACACGGTGCCAGCAAACCCTCTGCGAGCAGAGAGGTGTAACTCTCCCTAAGAGGAGCCTTGGTGAGTTAAGATAGAGCAACCATGTGGTCACACTGGAGATTAACATTCCTTGGCCAGCGAGGACGAGCTTTTATTTTGAAAGCCACCTGGGCTCCACTTAAAAGTAGTCGAATGCTTAAGAATTTATTATGACTGGGAAGGCTCCRGTTTAACAATGTCAAGGCAGAGTCGTGGAAATACACGCACTTTTCTCCTTCCAAGACCCACGGCGCGCTGCATTTTGTCCTTGCACAGCTGTTGCTGTGCTGCAAGATCAAACCAGCACCGAGTTTCGCCATGAAGGATACCTAATATTTGGATTTTACATGCAGTGTCTCCAATTTATGCGCTTAGAATCATGAAGATGACTTATGATGTGTTGTGTTTGCATTGGCAACGGCTCAAAACCAGAAATATATTTCAGGCTTGGCTTTCCAGATATTATCTCAAGTCATTTAAAAGTTCATTATAGGGCACCCGCTAGTGCTGCTATAGTAAAGGGGCTGTCAGCATTTTTCAAGGTTTATAACTCAGCCATTAAAAAAGAAAAAAAAAAACCTCTCTGTGGGCTGAAACTTGGCATTCAGGATCTAGGCCCAGCAATAAATTGTTTTTACAAATTAAAAAAAAATCAGCTTGGCTATTATTAAATTATAGGTGGGCTAAATTTTATTTAGAACTGTTTCGGACTGCTCTGAATTTCTGTAACTTAAAATGTCTCTAAAATGTCTGTATAGAGTGCGACACTAACACATGGCCCGGCGTTTGTTGTGTGCTTGAAACCCTGAGATTTTGCTCAAAATATAATAACAGCGCTGATCCCAGCATAGTACTTTTCACCCTCAAAGTGCTTTACGAGCATTATCTCATTAATGTACATAACAGCCTCCCCATGATGTAAGAGGGATTATTATYCCCACTTTATAGCCAGCGAGATCGAGCCAAAGGGTTTAAGGCTGTTTTGAAAAGGAGTGAGTTGCACAAATCCCATGTGAATTTTGATTGGCTTTGGGTGTCTCGTTCCCTTCGGCTCTTCTAAAAATCGTAGCTGGATGATTCACCCCGGCCTGCTCAGAGCCAGGATTAAAACTCAGACTTTCCAGTGCCCGTTGCCACTAGACTGTTTGATTCTCAGAAACRTAGTAATTCCTTTGCACACGAGAGCCATAAAGTTTCTAAGAATTTATTCTTTCGGTCGAGGAGAGTCGATGTTGGAGATGGAGGGAGCTTCTCCGTGAGGGAAGCCTGTCAGACGAGGGCTGGTGCCAGGCGTTGGGGCGACGTGGTGGCCTCGGCGCCGGTGCCGGCAGCGGGTCTGTCCTCCAGCCGCAGCGCCACTCGTCCAGGGAGGACCGGGCCCTAGATCCCCGGGCCCTTGTGCCTCCTGCCCTGGGGATGTCCTGATGGCACCAGAGAGGAGCTGTGGCATGGGGATCTGATGAGAACCCGGATCTTTGTCTTGGTGCCGTTAAGGGAAGGGGATGGTGACAGAAGCTCTGGAGATGGGGAGGACTTCCATAAGCACCAGGCAGACACAAGTATGAAAAATAAAACTGGCCTTTGCTTTGGCCCCTTTTGGCAAATGTGGGAATGCAGGGCTTCCATGCATCCTGGAGAAAGAGTTCTCCTTACTTTGTGTGCATCAACAGCACTCCAGGCTTTCTTGGAAGCACTGTTGGACTTTCAGCTCATTCTCAATTACAGAGCCACTCTATCTGCGAGAAATTTCTTGTGAAGCGTCCAGCCTCTTGAAAGCTGCCCAGCTTAAACCTCATCTCAGGTTCCTTAGGGCCTGCTGCTTCACCTGATTGATGGTTTGCAAGCAAAATCTGTGGATATAAGGATTAAACAAAGCTGAATTTAGTATATGTGTTTTGTTTTGGTGTTTCTATAGTAGTGTGCTGAGGGAGGTGAAGAATGCTTGGAGAGGAGGCAGGAGCTGCTGCATCCCAGAGACTCTTTCTGTTTGGATTATGGCGACACTTTCTTACAGCTTGCTGTTGCTATTTTAAAATCATCCTCCAGTCTTTGGAAATCTACCTATCATCCTTACTCCTTCACTTGCCCTCCTCTACGTATCATAGGACCTTTAAAATACTGTGTCTACCATGTTGGTTGCCACGAGACCATCCCAGGGCGGACGGCGTTGTGTTTCCRACTGCGTTATGCTGCCGATCGCTGTATTCAAACTGTTATCAGGAATTATACAGACGAGTGTGCTCCAGAAATGCTACACAGATAATTAAATGTGGTTATCCAGTTCCATGCTATTAGTGTGATTTTATTAAATGCAGATCGTGGAGAGAACCCGGGAATACGCGGGCTGCCTTAGATTATGCTTCCCGGCGAGGTTATTAGGGCAGCAAGTCAGAAACGTTTCTGATCTTGTGAGGAAGCCACAGAAGTGACTGCAGGGACCAGGCACCCTCTCTGACACCCTGGGTGCCAGAAACCAAACCCCAATGTCCRTCTGCACCTTTTTACCCCATACGCGGCGTTAGAACTAATTAGATCYGTGGGAGCACCGATAGCAGGAGCATTTTGCAGCTTCGAATCCACACGTGCCCATTAAAAGACTGCTGGACGGATGGAGCCCGTGTGTGGAGCGCTCCTTTGTGCTGGGTGTTTATTCTGCGGGCTCGCAGGGAGCAGCGAGAACAGGGGCGCCTTGTTGCGGCGCGGTGCAGGCGGAGGGCAAGGACCCCCGTCCCAGCAGACGCAGCAGAAACTGATATTCATATACACAAGCCCCAAGGAAGGGAGCAGCCGTCGAGGACAGGATTAAATAAATAATTAGGGAAGTGGATTAGTTAGGAACATTAGTTACCTAAGCTGCTTTTAGCACACAAGGGGAATTTTTTCTGCTCGTGGTAGGGAGGCTTTCTGCTGGTGCAGACAGCCCATGAGAGCAGCAGCAGCATGACATGGATTTCCTTGCYCGTGGGCAAGGGGCTTCTCTTGACCCTACGGGTTTGCTCGGAGAGCCGCGGAGCAGAGCGCAGGGGCTTCACTGCCGCCTCCCCGCAGTAGTTACGTGCAGAAATAATAATAGTTTTGGCCACTGGTGACCACAGCRAGGTGTGAACCTGTGACACAGAGATAAAAGTGTTCCACTGCCAGTACCCAATCCATCCAGCTCTTGGCCTTTACAGGATTTAATTAACTGTTGAACACGGTTAACTGGAAATAGTCCTCTTCCTGAAGGATGCAGAATGGGATAGCAGCCGACAGAAGAAGACAATGCTCTTGATTGGATTAGAAGAGATTAATTTCTTCAAATTTTGATTTAATATTCCATATTCTAACAAAATAAAATAATTCTTGATCTTTTACTCTCACCTATCACAAGATCAATGTCAGATTGAAGATAAACTGCAGCAGTTTTACCAAGGAAAACGCTGACCAAGGGTAAAACAGCATGTCCTAAATGTGATCCTTATTCCCTCATGTTTACAGTCAGTGTGGACAAAATCCACATGCTGTCTGCACTGCTCTGCAAGTCAATTAAAAATTAATCTGAGATCCTCACTTTGGAGGGGTCATTTTCATATACTGATGTGTTTTGGGGATCTTGGGTTTCCAAAAGACTTGGGACCTTTTGGAAGATGTAGTTTTGGCTGGAGGTGAATAGTCCCCCTGGATGCACCTCTCACAGTTACTAGTTAGCAAAAAGGGAAAACAAGAGCGAGGAAAAGTGGTGCTATCGCTTTCTTTTGTGTGGAATGAAGCTGAGAAGGGTGATGCCGAGAAAGCACAGAGTCCGTAGCCGAGAAAGAGATGTTCTCAGGAAATAYAATGTTACTCTATCACAATGAAAATTCCAAGATTGCTTTTTTTTAACTTGCCATGCAAGGGCGCATGGCACTTATTGCTGGGCCAGACACCTCCATTAAATTTTCTCCTAAATCTGACAGCAACTTCTTTTCTTTCCCTCCAAAGACAAGAGCGCGGGTTCTTTACAGTGACCTTTAAGCTGGAATTCTTTAGTCACCCTGTTTCTCTTYTCGCCTCACAGATTACTTCTTGACGCTGGACGAACCCATGAACAACATCACCACGACCCTGGGCCAGACCGCAGAGCTGCACTGCAAGGTGTCTGGCAACCCTCCTCCCACGGTGCGCTGGCTGAAGAACGACGCCCCGGTGGTGCAGGAGCCCCGCAGGATTTCCTTCCGCGCGACCAGCTACGGCTCTCGGCTGCGGATCAGGAACCTCGACACGACGGATACCGGCTACTTCCAGTGCGTTGCGACCAACGGCAGAAAGACCGTTTCCACAACTGGTGTGCTCTTTGTGAAATTCGGTAGGTTTTTGCCTTACAAACTGCTCAAACTGCAGGAAGGGGCAGGACAACAGGGAATTCTGTCTTAGCCCCTCCAAACATTCAGCTCAGATGCAGCAATAGCAGGTTGGATTCAGCCTACTCTATTGGGATGTGGTAGTTTTATGCTCTCTGCATGTTGCTTGGCTGAGATACATGTCACCAGCTGCAATAGTGGCTTTTATTATATAAGAACCTACTGGAAGTAGGATCAAAATCCTGGGGGAACTAAACATATCCCACCTGAGCAGACTCAGGCTAGGTGAGAAAATCTGGTTCATTCTCAAGAGCCAGAATCACCTCCCCCTTTTCCTTTAGGAGATGAGAACTTTTAAGTTTACAAAACACTGGAATGCAAATGTTCATTACAGTATAAATTGGAGGCACATTAGTGAGATATATACATATAAGTATATATATATCTTCCAAGTCAAAGTTTATATAGAGATAATTGCCTTCAGAGCTGATCTAATGCCTGGGAAGACCTCAAACAAGAAACAGATTTTGTGCGTTGTCTCCTGCCTGCCCCCATTCAGAGGGGAAGATTTCACCAGCTGAAGATATTTGCATGGAGACCTGGTTAATCCTCTTTAGAACTGAACAAATAACACATAATGATTGATGTATTTGAGGAGTTTCAAAGCTTTTTTTCCTCTCCCTCCCCATGAATCTCATAGATTTTTAATGTTCTATTTCTTATAAAAATATTACTTAAACATTCGCATAAATCTTTTGTCCTCTAGCTTGTATCAGAAGTTTAGGAGACTTTTATCTGAACAGTGATACTTTTGCCGACACTGTTGTTGAAAACACCTGATATGTTTGTAGAAAATTTCTAATGTTTTTCTTTCTTTTTCTGACTAGAGCAAATTTAATCTTACAATCAAATTTCCAGAGCAAAGATTCATTTGCATGCATTCCCTTTGAATGTGCTGCAGCAGACTCTTCAGCCTGTGCTGTTGCAGTGAAGATAAATTCCAGTGAGCTCAGCCCTCCCAGTATTTGCCCAAATCAAGCCCAAATGCAGGAACAGCGAAATCYTCTCATCCAAGGACCTGCCGGGGTCCAAGGAAACCTGATGAATGCTCCTGAACCAGGTGTAGGACAAATTCCCTGAAAAATAATAACAATTGATGCTGATTTCTCCCAGTTAGATTGCAGCCTGCTTTTGTGTAAGCTGTAGTTTGCAGACGGGTGTTTTTGTGCAGGCCACGTTTCATATCATGTTTTTCATGATGGCCCAGGCACGAATTGAGTGCAGGATCAGCCCCTCACCTGCTTGCTGGCCTGATCTCTGGCACTGCTACAAGATCCAGCCTTGTCTTTGCTATTGAGAAACTGCGAATCGTCTGTTCAACTACATAAACCACGTTCAACATGATAGACTGTTGCTTTTATCTTTTAAAAGGTTTTCTAAGGCTTCCTACTTGTTACCTCACCATAACTCATCTCGCTGTTTTTATTCTGTCACTTTTCCAGGTCCCCCGCCAACAGCAAGCCCAGGATCATCGTAAGTTGTTTCATGTCTCTTTTACTGGTTCATTAATCCTGCTTTTCAGCAGTCAGGTGTTCATTTTTCACTTTGTATGACAGAAGCACTTTTACATTCCACTTTAAGGATGATAATTTATGATTACTGCATTATCAGTCTCATAGATAAATTTTCATAGTATTTCAAATGCCATTTCTTACACCTGATTTCTTAATTTCCAATATTTTCTTTAGATATCTGGTATCTTCAGTCTTCAAACTGATTTCAGTAGGCATGTCACATAAGTATTGTGAACAGAAAGTGGTCTGCAAATATATTACAGCCCAACCCTGAAAATATTTATTGCTGCATGTAATTTAGTCCTATTTGCTGATTTTAACAGGGCTGACAGCAGTAAGCTCTGTACCTGCCACTATTTATATCTGGGTTAGTAAACAGCAGTTGAGCTGAGTTCAGGTGCATGGCTTGTAGCAGCCAGCTTGCACCTTAGCTGCCCTTGTCACTCTTGGCTCCAAGCTGTTGTATCTTAGCAATCAGCACACTGGTGACTTTCGGCAGCTGAGTTTCTGYCTTTAGTAGGTTTTAAGAACATACGTATTTATCTTCCCCTCTATTTTCAGGATATGTGATAGAARTAACTCGCCTGTGTACAGTTTCTTAGTGTTTTCAAGTCAGATCTTCCACTGTTCTGAAGTTTGAAGTTACTTTGGTGATTGCGTGTGCGGTTTACTGTCATCTTACCCACGTGCAATGATACTGAAAACCAGTCTGTCCTTCCGTCCCGCTAGAAGAGAAATACAGTATCAGCTAAACCAGAAAGTTAAACCACTAGTGTAATATGAGGGATGTGAAAGTGTGGGGATGCGAGTGCTCTTTCTAGAAGTTAGTTCACAAAGGATTGCAGAGGGTAAAGTTGGGGAAGAACCTGCTCACAAAAGGACATGTGAGGATGCCCTCTAATGGAACATCATAAAATGTGTTTTTGTCTTTCCTATGGAAGGAAACTAGAATGAAGAGGCTGGAGGTTTTTTGGGGAGAGGAGCTCTCTGCTCATAGCTGGCCCCTTTCTGTGCCTGCAGTGTTCAGAGGAGCAAAGCTGTATGGAGCTTCAAGAAGTGGGCACTGTCGTGTTTAGCAGCTTGGAGACATAATTAGTGGCTTGTGGCTCAGAGGGTCCAAATCTCTGTCTGCTTCTGCCTGGGTTGAGGTTTCTAAAATCTGAAGGCTGAGCAGCAGCCCTCGGCTGAGAACAACCTACAGGAGAGGCTGTGAGCACAGGGAGCAGAGGGCTCAGCCACCACGGCACTGCCTAGGCTGTTCAGATGTGCCAGGCGTTTTTTTATATAAAATAGATGTAGAAACCTTTTTCCATTCTCTCTTTTTTTTTTTTTTCCCCACAATAAAGGAGTCAGAACTTGACCAGCCAGCAGCCMAGGCAGTTATTGTGAAGTTACTGCAAATGGTCCCGCTTGGTTAGTGAGAGTCGGGTTGAGCTTGATGGCAGTGTCAACACTGCTTTGTTCAGGCCATGGCAACAAACCCAAGCTCCTGAGATTACTGTGAGTTCAGAGACCAGAAGGAGCACACATAATAATGGTGAATGTTAAAATAATGTCACAATAACATTATCACACTTCTCCTGACCTAATCATCCTTCATCTAGTCAGTGTCTTAAAATGGCCCTGCCATATTCTATGCACAAAGCCCCAAAATTGAGGGGAAAACCACTGATTTCCATATGAACCATAGCAGGCATTAAAATAGGCAGTGTAAAGAGCTTAATAATCCCAATTTTCAGTTTGCTTTCAGCCTGCCCTGACTATCATTTTACACGAATRTAAGTACAAAAGAATATAGAAGGAAGGTGAACATAAAGTGAGACTTCCTCTTCAAAAGTAGATTTTATTATCCTCATGCCTTGTAATTTTGCAACCAAAAAAAAAAAAAGGAGATATTTAATCTCACTTCATTACCTTGGAAAATTGTAGGCTGTGTCTAATGGGAGGTCACATTGCACTAAACATTGCAGGGAAACATATCCAAAGAAATGTGCACAAGACTCCTATTTTATTGAATGGAGAACATTCCACATTCTTAGAGAAACTCTGTGGATTAAAAGTATGAATTAAGAGAATTGTGAAGAAACTCATGAAAATAGAAGCTAAACTTGTAATTCCTGCCGAATTCRAGTACAAAAGCTGTGTACATTGTCTTGAACCCAGCTCATGTCTGCTGGCAAAGTGATGCGTGCAGCAACTTAGTGGATAGCAGCAGAGGTTTCCTTCCAGCCGTGTTAAGGTAAACCATTAAGAGAAAATACATGTTGTGGTATTGAAGATTGCCTTTGGTGCTGTTGCTGGCTGTTTACTCTTCTTCCCATGCAAAAAATATCTTGAGAAATGTATGTTGTTCTCTTGCATAATTTGTTCCCTGGACAAGTTGGCAAACAAGCTGCTAACAAAGAAATTAATGAAAATTTGGTTGAAGTGCCTGTGGTAACTGGAGTTCCACAGCACCCAGGTAAGTGCCACAAAAACCCTGTTTGCATCAATACCATGTTAAAGGTAGCAGGCCTAGCACTCCTTCACTTCTCCACTTCAGTGCAGGGGAACAGAGCATTTTACCTAGCCTTGAAAAATTGTCTTGTTTAAAGACAAGTCTATTTAAGATTTTTTAGGTTTGGCTTAMTTTTCTAATATTTTTGTTGAAATTCTCTTCAAATGCAAAGAGAACCTGAAGCCTGTCCCCATGTTCTCCATGGAAGGCATTAGCCCTCAGGCTCTGATGCTGTTTCACAGCCTGGCTGCCRCTTCAGAACTCTCGTGGATGAGCAATAGGTTTAGGCATGAGAAACACCCACTTTCAACAGTGAAAACCAAAGCCACCTATGGGTGCCTCAGTTTCAAGTTCCAAAGCAGCAGATCTAGGATGTGGTTGACCTTCCTACCCATCATTTAAGGCTAAAGGGCTGCTCTGGGGAATTCCTTTCTTCAGGAAGAGTCCTGAAACTTGGGTTATAAAATCTCCTCATGCCATTTTTTCAAAAGCTGTCCCGTTAGTCCTGGCACTTTGGCAGAACCGACTGTGGGTCCGTGTGGTTGGCCGCTCTCACCTCCCCAGGAGATRTTCACGTGAACTTGGATCCAACGGTGTCCCCTTGTCCACGCTGACCTGCGGTGTCGCTGTAAACAAATCGGCGGTTTTTGGATATCGTCGTAGTGTTAGTGGTTAAACTGAGTTTAAATTTGGAAAGCACTTTGAAGAATGCTGTGTAAACAAGAGTTTCTCTTTGATGGTAATTGTGCCTTACAACATGTGTTTCTTCTCCTACGATAACACAGTCAACCAAATAGATGGAATGAGGCAGCCTTTCCTCGTGGGCATGCTTTTCCCATGTTGTCGTTATTCATCTGCCATGAGCGGAAGGGGCTGATCATTTAAGGATTTAATTTGAAGATCGTGTTTTTAAAAAGGTCCATATRCTCTGCACTTTTCTTCACATATTTTACAGGTGCAGAGTTCTGCCGTGATGCGATGGCAGAAAAATAGATGGTTTGACTGCTGCTTAGAAATCAAAAGGTTAAATGGGTAGCTTGTGTAAAAGGAGACAGGCAAAGCTAGATAACATCCCAATTCATGTGTGTGTTACATCCCTGTTCCCTCTGCTTTCCTGAAATACTGCTGGAGGTAGCGAGAGCCAAATGTGTAACTGCTGCCCAAGTGGTTCCAGGCAAGTGAGAGAAACTGCCGCAGAACATACCATTATGGTTCATATAGAAATCACAAACCCCAAGTGTTCCTCTYGGAAAGCACTGGCTGACCTGAACGTCCTTCCTTTAGCTCTCTGGCGTGTTGCAGAAGTCGGCTCTGCAGCCTTATCTGCGAGGCTGCAGGGCTGCATTCCTCACATGTGCTCTGCTTCTCCACATGTGCAGCGGAGCTCGGGAGAGCGCCTTGAAAATAAGAATGCACACTCCTGCTTTATACATAAATCAGCACTTTATCTCGCATTTCGAAGGCAGGTGCTGCAGATACCCAGGCGGTTACAARCAGCTCCCCGAGCTGTGGGGAGAGTGAGAAGGAGCCTGCCCCGCAATTCGGACACTTTTCCGAGAGCGGGGCCACCGCGCTGCCTTTCCGGCCCTTAGGGCTTCACATTTTTTCCACCAAGTGGATGGTGGCAAGGGCACCTCCACCCCACAACCAGAAGTGCGGGTGAATGATCCGGTGCTATAACAACTGGTATTTTTTAAACAACTGGGGAAATGGTTACGTGCCCAGTCTTTTCCAATGTTTTTTTGTCCTTTTCTTCTCATTCCATATCATCTCTGCTACCTGGTGTGATGGCTTTATGCTTGTCCTGGCAAGGACATGCACACTTCATGCACACTGCGAAAAACAGAGGTGCAGATCACAGAGACTGAAGGAGATAGAGCACGTTCTGCTCAAGGACTGTCATGGGAAYGTCAGTGGGAAAGAAAACAAAAGGGCCTTTTGGTTTGGTGCAGTTTAAAATTGACCCAGACAAAACCTGCTGGATTGCGGTCAGATGGGAGGGATTCAGGGAAATGCTCTAGATATTTGCTGCTGAAGCTCTGCAAACTGTACAAAAAACACAGACAACTTGCTGCATAATGAACACATTTTTGTGAAAGCTTGACCCACAGGTTGAATGTTTCACTTGCCAAAGTGGACTTTTGACAGAGCAAACACTGGAAACATAGTGTGGCACCTCCTTGCAAGGGTTCTGCAACTTTAGGAGACACACTGGCTTGCATTTTGAAGGAGAAAATTGTCCAGTTTGTCAACATTATTACTCTTGGCTCCATGGTGCTGCGTGTGCAGCAGAGAGACAGCAGCAGGAACATGAGTGGGGCTCCCAGCACGTGCCCTGTAGGAGTGTCTCCTGCACAGAGCACACACAGGCCTTGGTCACTCCGGCTCTTGCATGGTTGCTCTATTCTTTGTGGAGCCTTCTCCATTTATCAGCTAAATATGGTATTGTTTTTGCCCTTACT